CCTTGCAGTTTCGTTCCCAGCAATTATACAAAACCAAACAATAATGAACTTGGTGGTCCTCTGTTCCTACGAAACCAGCGAGAGTGTTTCCACACTTTCACCTTTCAACCAATGTTCTGTAGTCCAAGATCCTTTCCTGGTGGAAGTTCCTCTCTCATATTTGTTCAATTTCCATTGATACAAGATATTAAAACACAAAACATCATAAATTTATTGGATTAAGTAACTGAAATTCGATTACAGAGATTTATAGATTCACAGATTATCTATTCCAGAACAAAATTAGCTTATGCTTAAAGGCATGACTGAAACATCAACTCTTTGAAATTCTATTACAGATTACTGAAGCATAAGTCAAAGATGAAAGGAAAAACTGAAATTATAGACTCAATAAAACAGAAACAAGGATGACCAAAAAGATGAAAAACGAAAATGGAGAACTATGTGTGGTTGCCCACGAGGGGACTCGTGGGGAAGAGAGAAAGATATGAGTGTCGTTCCAGAAAAATCTCTCTTTTATCTTTATTTCATTCTCTATTTACATGGAAGAGATAGTGGTGGCAGTTGGTGAATAATGCAACTCATTCCCTCCGCCATTAGATAAAAGGGATGTCTCCTCTTTAGGAATCAGATGAATTAGAATAGCTTTGAAATGTTGAAAATAGGTGAGGTGTCTTCTGCTTTCCTCACTCTTCTAACCAATTCTGAGCATGTCAGAATTATTCCCTCATCCTTTTGGTGTTACAATTGCCTTTTTAGTGGTTGTCTTTTTTAGGTACCTTGCAAAAAGCAAAAAATAGGAATGAGTGAAATCAAAAAGTAAATCAGAAAAACATCTTATCTTTCCTTTTTTTTCTCGCTCTATTTCCTCACTTTTCCATCTTCAACCTCATTTATTTACTAAAGTCAAATTTATTGCATTTACACTAATATTCATAATATTTATTTAAAAACGTGAACATAAACAACAACGTTCCTCAGCTGGAATGTCATGGATGGGGCTGGAACATAGGGAACAGTGACCATTGTGCCACTGTTCCCACACAAATATACCAAAATGCCACGCGCGTGAACCAATTTCCCAAACTGCCACGCATGCAAGGTCGCTTGGAGCAGTAGCGAACTACGCATGATGAGGTGTCAACAAGCTGGTGGTGTCAGAGTTTGCTTCTGACACAAGCGAACTTGTCTGCAATAAATGCTGACACGTATGATGAGTTCGCTGAAGTGCCAGGCGAACTTAATTTGCCACGTGTCAAACCCATACCTAGGTCGTTGGGGTCCCAGGCGAACTGGGTGACAAGTGGCAGCCACTGCACTAGTTCGCTGGACAGGGAAGCGAACTTTGTGACACGTGGCAATTCCCCAGAAGTTCGCTGCCTAGGGAAGCGAACTACATGCCGACAGTTACAGGTCGCTGGCCCAAGCAGCGAACTCAGTGTTATATAAACACCCATCCTCCTCTTCTCCCAAAATCAGTCTCGTTCATTTTCTTAGAAGAAAATTTCCATTTCTGTTTGTTTTTCTTTGTCTATTTCAGTACATAATGAGTGAGAATAACAACGATGTAATATGCCTTTTATATTACAATGGGAGGAGATATTTTGGACCGAACGGTCAAGTGTTTGAAGGAGATACGAAGATCTTCCGCATGAGTCCGCGTTGCAAATATATTGAGCTCAAGAAAATAATATACAAGAAGTTGAGATTACAACGAGGTCAATCCCTGTCTCGACTGATTGCTAGATGTGCTTCTTTATGTAACCCCGTGCAATGGGTTGCTGTGGAGGTGGTTGAGGATGAAGATGTGTCACTAGTAGTTAATTCAATACTATTATTTATTGCATATTTAACAATTATGTTATTAAATACATAATTTAACAACATTAAAATATAAAAATCTAACCTAAATCCTATTAATAAATAATGCATATAAAATAATTTATTAAATACATTAATTAAACTATAAAATATTTAACTACTAACATTAGCATACAATTACTAAACTATTAATATTAGACTAATTCAACTAATAAAATAAATAATATGTCATCTAACCTAATGTGTCATAACATTAATCCTAAAAATTATCTTACCCTAAATCCTATGAATAAATAATGCACATAAAACAATTTATTACATACATTAATTTAACTATAAGTTATTTAACTACTAACATTAAACTATATGTTATTATACTAAACTACTAATATTAAACTAATTAAAATAATAAAACAATTAATATGTCATCTAACCTAATGTTTTATGTTACATATAATATATATAACAACAACTAAATAACAACAAAAATATAAATAAAAATTAACAATATTATACATCACTAACCTCAAATGAAGACAAAGAAGGCAAATGAGAGAGAAAGAAAATTAAAAGAGGAAGAGAGTGAAAGAAGAAAAATAAAGGGGGGAGAGAGAGAGAGAGAGAAAAGGGAGGGGGAGGGGGCGATAGGGATGATGGGGGGGGAGAGGGGAGGGGGGTTTATATAGGGGTGAGAAAAGTAAATGTTGCATCAAGTTTGCCCAGGTGGGGAGCGACCTTGGTGCATGTCAGCCACGTGGCACTAGCCGTTGCACACAGGTCGCCCAGGTAGGGGGCGACCTCTGTTGCATGCAAGCCACGTGTCATGGCAGGTGAGGCATTAATTGCAACAGAGGTCGCTTGTGTCAGAAGCGAACTATGACACAACCAGCTTGTTGACACCTCATCATGCATAGTTCGCTACTGCTCCAAGCGACCTTGTATGCGTGGCAATTTAGAAAATTAATTCACGCGCGTGGCATTTTGATATATTTGTGTGAGAATAGTGGCACAATAGTCACTGTTCCAGAACATAGTCCCACTAGTTTTCTTTTTACTCATGACAAATGCATAGTCTGGTTTAAATATTAAAGTCTTTTGTTAATTGTTAGTGTGTTAGTGCTCACTGAATCCAACAACCAGCTTTAGCTTTTAATAGTGGCAGACTCAGAATATTTAATAAATGGAGATTAAAAAAAATAAAATTTTAAGTATTATTAAACTAATAAGAGATATTAATTATTATAAATATTTTTGAAGGAGGGACTAATTATTAATACTAATAGTTTTTTATTATTTAAAAAATTATTTTATATATAAAATAAAAAAAATTAAAATTAGATTACCAAAAAAAAATTAAAATTTAGGATGGGGCAGCCGCCAATATTCGCCTTTCCCTCAGTCCGCCACTATCTTTGAATTGAGACAACTATCCCCTAAATTTTATTAAAAAAAAAATTAAATATTACTTTGTTACATGTCATGATTTATTTGATATGAGTGCATAATGGTACAAATTAAATTTAACCAAATATTTTCAAAACAAAATTTCACGAAACGAAAGTCCTGAATTTTAAGTTTATACCCACGTACATATGCTTTTATTAAGAGAGATAACGCATGCATAGAAAAAAGGATCATATATATCGAACCCTTACAATGAGAAGAATGAGTACCTGAGAAAATTTCTTTTATTTCTTTTCATCTAGTCTAAAACTTTACAGCTCCATTTTCGTGAAATTCTATTATATGAATCTATAATTTTCCTTTTATTAAATATCAGGTGGTGTGAATAAGATTAGTTGTTATTTCCTGTGGATCCTTCGTGTGATGGTTTAGTTTGGTTTCTTCAAAATGAGCTAAATTTGTCAAGTTACCCCGTCTACTAGCTAAACTTAGATGAGTTGAATATAAAAAATATTAACTCGTTTGAATCAATTCATTTTAGCTCTGCTTGTGGAGCTTGCGGATTAACTTATGGGCTGGCTCGTTGGGCTGTTTTTTTTTTTTTTTTTTCCATAACATAATTCTATGTTGGCTTATCAAATATAAAGCTAAAGGTATAAACGACTAATACTGAAGGCATGTTTGGTAGAGGAGAATTTTTTTTATTAGGGAAACATAATTAATGGAAAAATAGTAGGAAAGTGCGTTTGATAGAAAAGTTTAAAAAAAGATATTTGGTTCACCGAAATAAGAGTTTAAACGAAAAATAATGGAAAGACAAAAAACATAATGGCTAATACTGTAATACAAAACGACTTCAATTTTATTGAGTTTTTTTTTTTTAGATTGGAAATTTGTTTAAGACTTAAGTACTTTGAGTTTATTATGTTTTAGTTTAAGATGCATTGTATTTTACTTCATTTTTTTGAGTTGTTATCTTTTTAATGTAAGATTTTCATTTTAAGCACAGTAAATTTAATTTTTTTTAACTAAAAAAATTCAAAAAGCACATCTTGTTCATAGGCTGTCCTTAAATGAGCCAGCTCATAAAATATCAACCCTTTTAATCTTTAATCTTTTTGAATCAACTTATATAACCCATTTAACCTGTGAACTAAACGAATCAAACTTAAATAGGACAACTTGACCTACTTAAAAACATGCATATTGCACATTTGGGAATATATTATTTATTTAAAATCATTTGATTAAAAATTTTAATTTTAAAATAAACTAATCCAGATATATCACGTGATATCAAAGGATTATCTGTCTTTCATGACATCCTATCAGTCTAGAGGATAGATGTTAGATTTTTTTTTGTTTATTTATTTTATTTTTTTGGTAAATATCAACCTATATCCAAAGTCCTAATGTGTCATATCAATAGGTTTTGGGTTTGAGCATCTTCATACTCTTTACAAGTTGTAAATTTCAGGAGTAAAACTCATCACCTTTTGCATAGGTTAAATCTTGAGATTTAAGTCTAGTTAGAACACAACTAGACTAACTAATCGGGTTTGATTTTATTGAAACAAGTGTGCGTGTCTCGCGTGCCGTTTCTATTGCAAAGGAAATAAAAGAGATTTAACATCTCTAATTTAAGTCATCGGAATCAAAGTTAATATCATGTTCTTCCTCCCTTCCTCTACTAATAAATTCACCAATAAATTTGAAAATTTCCAAATCATTCAAGTTTCCCTCTTCTTCATTTGGAGCATCCAAGCCAAGGGGGTCTATACTTCAACATCTTCCAAATTTTCTTCATATGTTGGCTCCACAATCCAATAATCATCCGAATCAATGTCATCAAAGTTACATTCAATTTGTGGAGATATCTTATGCTTTCTATTGCCTAATCTTGAGTTAGCCATTACAAAAACAACATCATTTATTGTGTTATGCTTCAAATGGTTTCTTTTTTTGTGTGTGGACCTAAACAAATACAAAAAAATAATTTAATACATAACTAATATAATATGTTTGAAATGAAATACAATTCAAGCTAAGTATTATTAAAATTTTATCATCTCAAAAGCACTCCAATTTCGCTCACACCCAGACGAACTACATATCAAACTAATCATACAGATAGCAAATTTTTGGAGCTCTAGAACACCATCCCCATAAGATTCTCACCATGCTGCTGGACTCTTGGTATCAACTCCATCCCTAGCAAAAGAAATCCCTAAAAGACCTTCACGATCCTTGAATGCCTCAAGTTGTTGATCAATCTTTCTTTCCACAGCAAGATCCCCCACCATCCTTTTTACACAATCATATAGTCCAACTTTCACCTCATAATCCACTTTAAAGGTAGGAGAATAATGATGTTTGGGGTTTAAGTAATAGCCTGCAGCTTGCAAAGGCCTATGGAGTTTATTGTCCCATCTTCCATCAATGACATCCATACAAGCTTAAAACTAAATATTGAAAATAAAACATTTGAATTAGTTTTGAGTTAAAAAAAAATCTATAACTTTGAATTAAGCAAATTATTTGATAACTTACAATGAAGGTTTCTTTTTGAACTCCGATTCAATTTTCTCCTTGGCTCGATCCATCGTATCATAAATGGAGCCCATGACTTCATCATCTGAATCAACCAACCGAAGCATCTCAATCAAAGGCGTTACCCTTATCAAACAAATGTCAACATTTCTCCAAAACACTTTGTCCATCACTAAATTTTCAATAAGCATTCCATTTGCTGACTTAGCATATTGGCTAGTCTTCCATTCATCAGAGTTAAACATTCTAATTAAAGGAAGCTTATGGTCATAGATGCATTTCAAAGTCAAGTAAGATGTAACAAAACGAGTCATGCCAGGCCTAATTAAATCTTTGCCATTGGTGAACTTGTTCAATATTGGAATGAGAGATGTTCTTGAATAGATATAAATTGTAATTTTTTTCCCAGAGTAAATTGTGCCTTTATAAACCCGTATTTTCTTCTCTAAATCTTCCAATATCAAGTCAATTCAATGAGCAGCACAAGGTGTCCAATACAAATTTTTTCTTTTCTCAATCAACAATGCCCTAATAGCTTTATAATTTGCAGCATTGTCCGTCACAACTTGGACAATGTTTTCTTCACAACCTCCTTTACCACTTCATCAATCATCTTAAGAATTTTGTCAGTTGTTTTGGTGATTTGAGATGCATCAATGAACTTAAGTAACACAACTTCCTTAGAGCTATGCACACAAGAATTGATTATTGTTCTTCTTCTTTTATCAGTCCATCCTCCAGTCATTACTATGCATCCCGTTTTCTTCCATCGAGCCTTATGTTCTTTAGTAACAGCCATTGTCATAACACATTTTTGCTTCAAAAATTTTACTCTACATTCATGATAGGATAGTGGCTTGAAACCCGGTCCATGCCTAGAAATTGATTCACACATTTTTTTAAAGCCATCATTATTCACAAAATTGAAAGGAATTCAATTGTTATAGATAGCAGTACAAATGTCAAGACATGCCTCCTCCTTGAAGTTCTTCGTGGATATGGTCTTAAGGGTTACATGAGTAGATGTGCTACTTTTCTTGAAAATATTGGAGCAACCACTAATAACTTCCTTTTCTACTTCTTGCCAATTGCACTCTAAATTTTTATTCAATGGTTTTCCTTGTTGTGTTCCAACAAGAAGATTCAACATCTCTATTTTTACTTCATCTAGCACCGCTATACATAGTTCAACATCTTTCGATGTTCTTGCTAAATGTTGCTTCGCACGAAAAACTCCAGCACTCTTTACTTTGAGACAATACTTGCATTTAAGCCTTTTTGTTCCGAAACTTCAATTATATGCTTCCATGCAGGATCTAACCTATTTCCAGGAGCACTTCCAATTTCTTCCCCCCAAGAATAGTGTTGCTTACACTTATAGAAGCTGGAGTGCTACCACTACAATTAGCACTTCATAAAGCCATATGATTTTAAACAATATTTAATCAAAGTTCAGATAAATGCTCTCAGTTTTAGGCTTTCAAATTTCAGCCAAAAAAACAATAGATAAAATAAACCAACAGATTTCAGACACAAGATTATATGTTATCATTTCAAACTATACGAGATTTAACTTCTAAAGACACTTATTTTTATGTGCTGCCATTAATTTCTAAATACATAATTTAAAATAAAAAAGTATGCATTTTTAATTTATTTTACAAACAAAAAATTAATAACTTATAAACATTATTAAATGTGTTTAATAATTCACAATTTCGTTACCGGAAGAAAAATTCACAGTTTTAAAAATAAGTACAAAAGTACATAATTTTCAAATAAGTAAATTAGACATGTGCATCCAAAACTTCAATAACCCAAAAAAAGGAGGATAGAAAAAAATAAGGGAAGAAGTCAAAAAAAATGAGGGTTGAAAAAAATAAGAGAAAAAAAGAAAGTCAGAATCCTTACCAGATGATGAGTCAAGAGAGGAGAAAGGAGGAGCTTCCAAAAAGCCAAGAGAGAGTAGAGAAACTACCGACAGATAATACACAATAGAGAACCCAATATAGTGTGTCAATACTAAAATGTGGAAACAAAGACCTTTTAATAATAAATATTAAAACTAAAAGGACAAAAATATCCTCATTTTGTGTGTTTTATATGGGAAAATAGTATTTTACTTCCACTTGCTCTTCATCTGCCATTTTCACCAATATGGACCACGATTTTCTCCGCGATTTCACCCACTTCAAAAGCTAATTTTTTTTATTTTTTTTAATATTGAGTCGGCTCGATAAACTAATCGAGTCAACCGAGTTCACTCGTCATTTCAACTGAGTCAACTCAATGTTTTAACAACATTGAACAATAGGATTGGGTCGGGGCTTTCATTAGTTAAGAATTAAGAGTATAATTTTAATGTAGAACGTGAAAGATTCGAGTTGTAAAGCAATTCTCGTTGAGAGGTTTAAATGTGTTTTCAAAATTAGAATTTTTTTAAAAAATTCTGTATAAACAAATGTGTATCAATTGCAAAATTATAATGAAAGTGAAAAAGAATTTGTCAAGTGTAAGAAAACAATAAGGTAGTTAGTTTAATACTATAATACCTTTTAGGCCTTCCCGTGATGCTGATAGACCGACCTAGACTCAGAATAATTTTAGTGTGAAATTACCTCAAAGTATATGGAATTCATCAACTTCAATGAAACTCTCTGCTTCTAATAACAGTTAACTTTGAGTTTCTCTTCCTGTGTAGATTGTAAATGCATTTATTCCAGAGAAGCTTAACAAATGACAGTTACTGTATTAAGGAAATTGAAAATCTCACAAGTCTATCAGTTGTTAATTTGAATGGAAATCTGCTTGAAAGAAAATATTCCAATTGAGCTTAAAGACTGCATTTTGGTTACCACATTAGACTAAAGGTCTATTCAAGGAAAACAAGAAGAACTAAAGCTAATTATAGTGTGTGGTGGTCTGGGGGGCCATAGCGGTTTGGCCGGAGATCATTATCAAAAGGTAAAGTTACATCAATCATAATAACAAATGGTCTCACATCACGTCTCAACCTAAAACCTTAAGGCATTAGGTTTATAAATATTTTTCAACGAGATTTTTTCACTTATATTTGAATTCCTAATATTGTAGTGCCTATTTTTTGTCACAATAATATATGAGACCATTCTTGCAAGGAAATCTTTATATTTTATTTCCATCCTAATAACTCTCTTGAGAAGAGTTGTTTTTAGGTTTTATTTACATGATTTGGTGTCATATTTTATCATATTTCCCTTATAATTGCATGATATTATCATTAATCTTATATCTTTATGTTTTGATTGAGAAATATGTTAAGTGTTGTTATTTGATGTTAATTTAAGTGCTAGAGCAATTCATTATCTTTGTTATTTTTGTTTCAGATGAGAGTCATGGCTCTGAGTAACAGTGTTGTAGCAAACGTGCTCAAGTGAAACAGTAAGTTGAAGGTGCAAGGAATAACTAACTTTTGAATTTCAAATTCAAATAGAGATAAGAACGCCTCAACATTGGATCAGGATAAGGAAGTTATGCAAGATAAAGAATAAGCATATATAACTTTCAATCCTAACATTTTGGCTAATAAGAAGATTAAATCAAGCTTAAGGGATAAACATCCATCCCTTTTAGAGGCTATTTTCTAGGGAATTCAAATTAGAAGAGCTACTCGGCGCTCAAGTCACCATTTGCTATATAATGGGAGGCCTACACACATACAAAATAAGCTTTCAAAGGATGAAACACTGAGAGGATTTTAAAGGCTTGTTGAGATAGATCCAACGGGTCAAGGGGTAAAGCTAGGGTCCAGTAGAGAGATCACTAGATCTAGTTGATCCTGTATCCTCCGGTGGCTGAGAAACATTGGATGGTGGCAAAGCCAGCAGTTCCTGCTAGAGCATAGCTACAACATTGTCCCTCTCTATGTTGTCTTAGTTCTATGGAATCTTTATCTTTCTTTTTTGTTTCTTTTTATTCAAGTATGAGTTAAATTGTCTATGATTGGGCGAAAAAGTACATGTATTGTGATGTAACCATGTCTTCTAACTTTGCTATGTAATTTTCCGTTAAGTTGTTTAATAAAGTATTTAAATTGTCTCAATCTTGTTAACTTATCAGAGAGAGAGTTGCAAGTGTTTTGGGATTTGGCCTATATAGTATAGGTGAAACCGGAAAGTTATTAAACATTGTGGATTAACTAAATAAATTGGTTAAGTATAGGTAGTGAGATCATTCACTCCACAAAATCATATAGAAATTGCACTTTATGGCCTTGATAACTATGTAACCATAGAGATATGGGAGCTAGTATACATGTACCGTTGGTGAGAGCCCCTACTTACATGAATGTTCTGGTTTTTTATGGATGATTGTTATAACATCGTTATAGCATTTTGGTGAAGTTATAATATTGAGAAAATTTATCCCAATCTATCTTTTGATACTTGAAACTTTTGTTTTATTGTGTTTTTATAGTTAATAAGTAGTCTTAGCTTAGTCTAATCATTAGTTATTAGTCTTTAATTATTATTGTTACTCTTATTGTTTCACTTAGAGCCATAGTTTTATTTAATCTCTGTGGAAACAATACTTGGACTCACACATCCACTTTATTATTCATGATATGTGTACTTGCGTATTTGTGTTATTATATTTGATTGCAAAATTGCACAACAAGTTTTTGGTGTCGTTGTTGGGGATTATTATTAAAGCTATTACCTTTTTTTGTGAAGTGATTTTTGATCTACTCTTCTTTTTGTTACTTTTCAAGTATTCCAGCTAATTTATGAGTAGCTATTCCAAACTTCTAGAAGTCCATTATGTTCCAAAAATTGAAAGGACCTTTCGGACTAGGAGAAGGAGGCAGAAATAGAATAGAGCTATACAGTACCTAGAACTGCAGACATGGAAGGAGACAAATCCATAAATAGAGAAGGATCGAATAGAGCATAGATGCCTATCAGAGCACATGGAGTCGCCACACTCAACAATATACTTTCAGGGATTGTGTAACCTGACGTTGCAATAACAAACTTTGAATTGAAACCAATTATGTTGAGCATGCTGCAAAAGATTGGCTAGTTTAATGGGTTACCAAGTGAAGACCCACATCTACACTTGAAGAACTTCATAGACATGGCAGAAAGCTTCAAAATTAAAGGAGTAACATCTGATGCATTAAAGGTGAAGATATTCCTTTACTCTTTAGCCAAAAGGGCTTAAACATTGTTGAATACTTTAGCCCCTAATTCAATTAGAAAATGAGATGATTTGGCTGAGAAATTCTTGATCAAATTTTCCCTCCATTTAAGGCAGCTTAACTAAGAAGTGGTATCACATCATTCCAACAGATAGAAGAATAATCATTATATGAAAGTTATGATAGATTCAAGGATTTGCTTCAGAAATGCCCCAATCATGGTATACTTGAATGGCTCCAAATGGAAACCTTTTACAATGGATTGAATGAACAAACCCGAGATTTTGTGGATGCATTATATGGATGGTCAAAGTTGAAAGAAAGACTAGAAAACTATTGGTTAAGCAGTTTTGTTGAATTGTCCTACATGTAAGTTGCTTTTTTTTCTTCTTCATGTGTGTGTGCAACACATCTTTTATTGTGGGGATCAAGCTGTCTGTAAGTAAATCTTCATAGGTAAGCTCTTTGTTTAAGGAGTTTTCTTCTGGCTTATTGTTCTACCAGAATCCGGTGGGATAATGGTTATTGTCTGTATTAATGACGTGGTTGGACAATGGAATAGTGGTATGCATATGGAAAATAAAATGTGGTTTGTGAAGTATGTTGATGTTTAATATACA